CCCCCACGGATCGGAATCCCCAAACCCTGACCGCCTCCTGCCCCGCGCCGCGCCGCGCCGCTTCTTCCGGCGAGGCCGCCCCGCCACCACCATGCTCGCCTCCGTCCGCTCTCTCCGCCGCCTCTCCTCCTCCTCCTCGTCCTCGTCCTTGTCCCCCGCCTCGCTACGCCGCCTCCTCCTCCTCCTCCACCGCCCGCCGCCTCCGCCCCCGCCCCCTCGGCCTCCTCTCCCGCCCTTCCAAACCCTAGCCCGAGGCATCCTGCCGCGCATCGCGGCGCGGCCTGTGCCCCGCCGCTTCTCCACCGCGTCCTGCTCCTCCACGCTCTTCCGCGTGGGGGAATGCGGCGCCCCCGGCGCCACCGCCATACCCGAGGCGGAGCGAGGCGAGGAGGAGGAGCGTGAGGGGGAGGATGGAGGCGAGGCCGACGCGGCGGTGGAGGTGGCGGCGGGGAGGCATGACACGGACGCGTACGCGGCGGTGGAGCTGGCGCTGGACTCGGTGGTGAAGGTTTTCACGGTGTCCAGTAGCCCCAACTACTTCCTGCCGTGGCAGAACAAGGCGCAGCGCGAGAGCATGGGCTCAGGTAAGCTTAGCAAATCTCAAGCAGTCAGCAGCGAGAGTCCTGAGTAGCGTGTTTCGATCTCTGTTGCTGCGGTAGATGCGTAGGTATGGCGGGCAAGCGATTGCCATTTCTATTGCATGGATCGGTGGAGTGTTACCTTGATGCTGATTGGGCTTATTTTGACCTTTTATCGATGATCAATAACGGGGTAGTTTGCTGGTTTCAACTGACAAAGACAGTGCGCCCAATTTATGTATTTCTGCTAGTGTGTACTTACTAATTAGTATGATGAAATGTGCTTCTTGGTTTATGGTAGTCACATGGAGTGCCCTACTATGTTTCATGAACTTTTGAAATGACCTTGCTGTGGGATAAGCCGAACAAATCAGTCATTTGTGGGTTGCTAACTGAGAAAACCTTCTGAAGTTATGCTTGTTTTTTTGGACTTTTGGTTCATCTGCTAATGCATGTCTGTGTTGTAGGATTTGTAATTCCGGGGAGGAGAATCATCACAAATGCTCATGTTATAGCGGATCATACCTTTGTTCTCGTGAGGAAGCATGGGTCGCCTACTAAGTACAAGGCAGAAGTCCAGGCTGTTGGCCATGAGTGCGACTTGGCTCTTCTGAAAGTTGATAGTGAGGAGTTTTGGGATGGAATGAACAGTTTGGAGCTTGGAGACATTCCCTTCTTGCAGGAAGCAGTTGCTGTGGTTGGCTACCCGCAAGGTATCAATTTTGAAACTAACAGTCCTATATCATTTGCAGTATTATGTGCTTAGATGTTAAACTTGATAGTTTTATGATTTCATCCACTGAACGCATTGAAGTCTATGCAAATGCCATACCCTAACCATCTAGTTTGTATCGGCGTACTGTTCTGTTGTAAATGAATGACAATGATCTAATTGATCACTGAAAGGTCAGTTAGACAAATATGCTAATGAAATTTTACACAATTTTGAAAGAAAGTAAAATTTACCCTATGTTTGTAACCCACTTTTAACATTTGTATAGATAATTTATCATGCCATTAGATTCATCATTTTACCCTTTGTTTGTAATCCACTTTTAACATTAACATTCATATACTCCCTCCATTTCACAATGTAAGACTTTCTAGCATTGTCTACATTCATATAGATGTTAATGTGGGCAATATATTTGTCTAGATTCATTAATATCTATACGAATGCGGGCAATGCTAGAAAGTCTTAAATTGTGAAATGGAGGAAGTAGATAATTTATTATGCTGTTAGACTCATCATTATGAGATTATTTTTTTTTGTATCCCCAACAATTTTTATGTGGTAGATATTCCTCCTAGCTTCACCTTATACCACATGAACAGCAAGGTACTACACACTTCTCTGTTGAGTGATACCATGATGATCTATCTATGCATGCATGTTTACACAGTTAATTCAGATAGATTAAAATTTTCTCGTGCAGCTTTTCTGCCTCTGATGCTATTGCTAGCATGAATAGCTTTATAGGGCCTTCTCAGTTCTTACTGTAACTATTCTTGTTAGAAAGAAAATCATAAAAATGTGAACAAATTTATGTTTCTGGCTTTCCATTGCTCAGGGGGGGACAACATTTCTGTCACCAAGGGTGTGGTCTCTAGAGTTGAGCCAACACAATATGCACATGGTGCTACTCAGCTCATGGCCATACAAATAGATGCGGCTATCAACCCAGGAAACAGCGGAGGGCCTGCAATTATGGGCGACAAAGTTGCTGGAGTTGCTTTTCAAAATTTATCAGGGGCAGAAAACATTGGGTAGGTCCCTGAAATAACTTTCTAGTCATGCACCAATTGAACCCCTTGCTTTAGCTAGAAATGTAATCCTCCTCTTTCAGGTATATTATACCGGTGCCTGTAATTAAACGTTTCATCTCTGGAGTGGAAGAGAGCGGTAAATATTCTGGTTTTTGTACCCTTGGAATATCTTGCCAGGCCACAGAGAATATTCAATTAAGAGAGTGCTTTGGGATGAAGCCTGATTTGACTGGAGTGTTAGTGAGTAGAATAAATCCTCTATCTGATGCTCACAGAGTTCTTAAGAAAGATGACATTCTTCTTGAGTTTGACGGTGTGCCTATAGCAAATGATGGCACAGGTGGGCTTCACACGACTGTGTACTTTTACATATTTTGGTTTCATGTTCCTGTATTATTTTACCTGGTAGATCATAGCACATAACTATCCTTGGACAAAATATTTGGTATGCCTTGAGTACATTTTTTTTTTCACACCAGCTTTTTTAATGCCTGCAGTCCCATTTCGAAATAGGGAGAGAATCACCTTCGATCATCTGGTGTCCATGAAGAAGCCTGGGGAAATGGCGGTTCTCAAAGTTCTAAGAGATGGCAAAGAGCATGAATTGAATGTCACTGTTAGACCTGTGAGTACTTGCAATGTTGCTTATAGAAGTTATACATTTTGATTAACCAGAGTGTTTTTTCTTTCTGCTGCTGGTTACTAATATGATTCAAATGCTACTCTCTTTTATCCTTGCACCTAGTTTTGCTAGTTTTAGGCATGGGTAATGGACTCAACCTTCTCCAAACTTATAATAGTCATTATATAGAGATTTATGTGCAGAACTGCAGATGTATCAGATATCTCAATGATCTCTGTAGGCTAACAAATTGGACCCAAGTATTTTGTACACATGCTTCCACGCCTATGCTTTGCATTCATCATTTCACTTTGCACTTACTTGACCTGTTCAAGTGCTTTTTGGATACGTACACTGGAAATGATCTTATATATAATTTATTGTGCAGTTGCAACCTTTAGTCCCTGTACATCAATTTGATAAACTACCCAGCTACTACATCTTTGCTGGTTTTGTTTTCATCCCACTGACCCAGCCTTATCTCCATGAATTTGGAGAAGACTGGTACAACAATTCGCCACGCCGACTGTGTGAACGGGCACTGAGAGAGCTTCCAAAAAAAGCTGCTGAACAACTAGTTATCCTATCTCAGGTACTACTTCGCCATCCTTCTCTATTCTAGTACATTTCAAATTAGCTGCTTCAGGATCTTATGAGTATTGCAGGAAACATTCTGCTGAACTTTTCAGTATATGTGTTCTCACCGATTATTTTGTCTTAGGTTCTCATGGATGATATTAATGTTGGTTATGAAAGGCTCGCTGAACTACAGGTACCGTTGCTGTACAGAAATCCTTAGTTTTCACTACCCAAGAACAGAAATTCTTCAGCATTCTACATTTCTACACATATGTAGTGTCCAGTAGGACATGCACTGATGAAGCTGCATAATATATGATCAGGTAAAAAAGGTGAACGGTGTGGAAGTAGAAAATCTGAAGCATCTGTGCAGCCTTGTGGAAAGCTGCACTGAAGAAAACCTGAGATTTGATCTGGACGATGAGCGGGTGATCGTCCTGAAATATCAGAACGCAAAGCTCGCCACGTCCCGGATCTTAAAACGGCACAGGATACCGTCGGCCATATCTGCTGACCTCGTCGACGAACAGGCGACTGACGACGGTGAGGAGGCGACTAATGGTGAGATCGAGGCATCATGCACTAGCTAACATTGTTTTGCATACTTAGCTAGGCAATTACCTGCGGAAGAATAGATAGATATTAGCACGGTTCAATTTCCAGAGACAGACGCAGTGAGGCGAGGACTGCCCGGAGCACTGCGCTGGTTGCAGCGGCTCCTGTTCGGCCGTCTCAGTTTTGACGTGAGGGGTGGGTGCTCCGGTTTCCCTCAGCAAATAAGAAGTGAAGAACCCAAGTTCTTCAGCCTCATGATATGTTGTAACACAAATTATCTTCCCCATTTCTTCCCAATATTTCTCATTCTTTCACCAAAAGTGCCGTGGCACAGTCACCTCATATTGAACTCAGATTATATATATCATCACGAAACAGAGCATATGAAACAGGAGTTACAAAGTTTACAGCTCGATGAAAATCCACAATAAGTTTCTTATGTACTTTCTTGGTAAATTATCACCCTTGCTGTTAATCCCTCCATTTCATATTATAAGTATTATAAAGTCGTTCTATTTTTTCTTAGTCGAACTTATTTATGTTTCACCAAATTTATAGAAAAATTGGCAATATCTATAACACCAAATTGGTTAAACCAAATGTAATACTGAATGTATTTTAATAATATGTTTGTTTTGTGTAGAAAATATTGCTACATTATTTTATAAGCTTGATCAAATTTAGAAAGGTTTGATGAAGAGAAAAGTTAAAGCTGAAATGTTCTTTAACAGAAGTATATGCGTGGAGCCCATATGTGTATTTGGGCCACAATGGGCCTTGCGGGCCAAATACTTGGCTCGGCCCATGAGCACCTACCTAATGGGCCACGATGGGCCTTTAGCTAGCAGAGTAGATTTAACTCTTTATTTTTCCTCTAAAAAAAGAGTAAATATCTACGCACGAGTAGATTAGGCTCTCCGCCTGCCGCGCCGCGAGCTCCCAGAGAATCACCGGCGCATTCCGCTGCGATTCTTGCTGCAGCAGCGGCCGCGGCGGCGGCGGCCACCTCGTGAAGGCTTGAAGCCCACCGGGGAAGGGGAGGGAGGGAGCCCACCGGGGAAGGGGAGGGAGGGAGAGAGGGAGAGAGAGAGAGAGAGAGAGAGGGAGAGAGAGAGAGAGGCTGCGGGCTTCTCGCGGCGGGATGGCGCTGCAAAGCTGCTGCTCCTCCTCCGCCTCCGTGCCCGCGACCTGTTCGGCGCTTTGCCTCGCGGAAGCGACGCGCGCCGCGAGCCTCTTCGTGCGCCCGCGCGCCGCCGCGAGGAGGCTCGTGCTCGCCCGATGCGCGCGGGGGCGGGAGGGCGGCGAGTCCAAGGCGGTGCAGCTGGTGCTCGGCGGCCGCGCGCGCGACGACGGGTCCGAGTCCGAGTCCAGCGACGACGAGGACGACGACGAGCCGATGCAGATGACGGACGAGCAGAGGAGGACGCTGCGGAGGAAGATACGGGAGATGATGGACCGGGTGCCCGAGACGGCGGAGATCACGGACCCGGCGGAGAGGAAGGCCAAGATGCTGGAGCTGCTGACCAAGTACCAGCTCGTGGTGGAGGAGGAGGACCCGAACTGGCCGGAGGACGATGAGGACGGCCATGGGTTCAGCCTCGGCCAGTTCTTCGACAAGATCACCATCAAGGCCGAGAAGAAGAATGATGATGATGAGGAGGACGATGCTAAGGGGAATCAGAGTGACAAGGAGATAGTTTGGGAGGACGACAACTACATCAAGCCAATCAGGGATGTCAAGACCATGGACTGGGATGACACCGTCTTCACGGACTTCGGTCCTTTGATTGTGCTTGTTCATAACCGATACAAAAGGTATAATTCATTGCTCCTACTTGAGTACTCCTGCTGTTAAGCTAAACTTGTGGATATATGCTGTATACCATATTCCCATGATATCTAGGAACTCCATAATAGTTCTATTTTGAGCATCCTTTTGGTTGAAGAATATCTTGTAAAGTTTAATAAATTTGTCGTCAAATATTAGTTAAGCAAATCACGAATGTTTCCTTTGTAGACCGCAGGACAATGAAAATGCAAGGGATCAACTAGTTAAGGCAATTGAGATGTTTTGGGAATACAATCTGCCTTCACCCAGGGTACTATTTCGATGAACTTTCTTTTACCATTTATAAACCTCATAACAGTTGCCTTGTCGCTTCTGAGAGCACTGTTGACTGTTTTCGTATCATCTTCAGTGCGTGGCTGTAGATGCCTGTGCAGAACCTGACCTTGTGAAGGCCCTGAATGTTTCTGGTTTCCCAGAGGTCCTCTTCACTAATGCAGGGAAGATAGTTCACCGTGACAAAGGTATTTGTATGAGCATAGGAGCATAATGCTATGTTGTTTTAAACCCTCAGTTGACCAATTGCCTCATGAGGTTTTCTCAATTTTGTTCTCCCTTGTTAGTCGTCCGATCGGCTGAGGAATGGACAAGAATGATGGCATTCTTCTACTATAAAGCAGCAAGGCCGCCTTGCTTGAGCGAGGCAGATGGTCAGGGTCAAGAAAAGGTCCCCCTGATGTCATAAGAACAGTGTGTAGGCGTAGCTTGTAGTTGTATTTTACATCAGTGTGCATTGTTAGAAACTTAGAGTTTAAATCAGTTCACATTTCTTAGCTTTTTAAATGTCGTAACACAGGCATCTATTAGCATCTACTAGTGAATTGCCATCTTTATCTGTTAATGGCATAGAATAGATATATCCAAACTGCAACAAGATTATGTTCATGTGCTGTAGGATTATGGTTTATGAGATCTATGTTCCAATGTGCAACAACATGTCGACCTAGATGTTTTGTGACTTTGGTCGTGTATATCCACTCGTGGATATGGAGGCCGGATTCTTATCCATTATCCAAAAAAAAGGTGTTTTGTGCTTACATTGCTTGACAGTTTGAGAAAATCAGAGAAGTGGGAAACTCTGTTCATGGTGCGGACAGACTTAGCAATGCATCTGAAAGAGATCCTGATGATAATCGGCAATTTTGGTGCAACATTTGGAAGGCGAGAGTTCTGCAGAAAGTTTGTGTTTTTGCTCGGAAATTGGCTAATGATGGTTTGTCCACAAATGTGAATAAATCAATAAATGGAAGAGGAAGCTAGAAGTGCTGAAGACGTGTGATGTATTTGTTGTCTTGTTGCTGTCTGGCTGCTGAGTTTGTTCATTTCGTGCCATGTTCTTGATCGCATGCTTATCAATTGGGGAAAGGGCCTGTTTGGTTGGTGCCCTGAGTCCCATGCCTGAAAATTTTGCACGCCTGGGAGGCATAGAAGAAGTAGATGAAAATTGCTTGGTCAGGCTGCTGGGACTACACTTGTTTGGTTGGCACCCTTGCCTGAGAGGAAGAACAAAGTTGGACTGTATATAATTACTGCTAAATTATGTGTTCAAGGTGAAAATCAAATCAGATAACAATAGCTGCGAACGCGTCGGATCACAATAGCATCGCCTTCCATATAGATTCATCTACCAAACAGCCTTCTACGTGCAAATTATATGCATCGCTGCATTCATCAAGATGGAAAAAAAGAGAAAGAAATCCACAAATCCACGCCATCAAGAAGGGGAGAAAAAGAGTCCCCAAATCCACGCCGCATCCATCAACGAAAGGAAAAAAGAAAGAACAGGAGGAAGGAAATCTCAAATCCATGCCACATCCATCAAAGAAAGCAAGATACGGCGGCTTCTTCCCTCTTCACACAACGGCAAGATCCAGCAAAGGGGCAGAGCTCCTTCATGAGGACAATCAGATCTAGTGAAGCAGCAGAGACGACGGGATTCGAAGTGGCTTCTCACGACGATGGGAGCGGCACTCTGGCAGGCGGCGGCAGGAGCTTCGCGCGACGGCAACGGCTGCAGGCTGCGACGGCTTTGTGTAGAGTCTGACACGACGGTGGCTGTGGCAGCGTCGTGCAGCCTAATAACGAGAGGATTACAGTTCTAATCCTCTAACCTAATAACGAGAGTCTTCCTCTAGACCTCTACCCAACGGAACCTGATAAACTACGAAATCCTTACTGGAAATGAGATCAGTGAAAATTATGCTACTTTTATGTGAGTTGAATTACTGCTGTTACAAATATTCCGGAACAGATAACCAAATCATTGCGGACATGTGGAAACTCTGAGTTCTCGTCACTTTAAAGGTAGAAGCAAATTATCCTGCACATTTTCCTTAATCCAACTCTTGGATTCCTCATCTATTGATGGATATCATGTAGAGCTTCTTGATAAGTCTAATATCAAGGACGTGGCGAATGCTAATATAATAATATATTGTTGGATATCTCCGCAAATGAATTTTAAAAGAATCAGCCATTTAAAATTTAATTTCGGAGTTGGTTTTAGAGTATTTTTCAACTTAGTTTCTTTCTCAGCATTAACTACACATAAGTTTTAGCCGTAACTTATTTTTTATCGCTAATAAACCATTACGGCTTATAATTAGTTCTTGAGCAACCAATGGTGCTAGAAAAAGAACCGTTCGATACTATATGCTTCTTAAGTACTCCTAATAAATATTGGATGTTTTCCAACACATGTTTTTTAATTAACAAAATTATTGGTGACAGAGACCGAATATATAAATCATTCTAAAAAGTGCTCCTTCCGCTCTCGATAATCGACACTATTGAGCGCTTACCATGGGCATTTCGCGTATGATTATGGTTCTTTTTGCACAGCTCTAGATTCACTATGTTTTGTGTTTTGGACCTGAGCATTCCTAACTTCACAAATACATGAATATTACATTAACTTGGATGAATAAAATCCTAAACCGCTAAAATTTAAGTTATAACTTTAAATTTAGCGTGAAGCTGAGATCTTGCAAAACACCAAACATAACATATATTGGCAGTATAATTTCTTTTTAGAAAAATACACAAACGGATAAAAAGTTTAAACTCGAATAGCATCTATATCAATTATTTGAAAATTGGAACAAAATAGTAACCTCCGTTCTAAAATAAATTCATTTTTCACTCATTCCACACATACCAATAAAAAAAAGATTATAATACCTCAATATCAAATCCCAGTGTTAGTAATCTTTACTTTATCTACTCATAATACATGATAAATAGAACTATCTAAAAATAAACTTACGATGGGACGAAGAAAAGTACTCGTAAAAGGAGCATTTAACTATTTTATACTTTTAAGATTTTGCATTTAAAAAGTTGACACTTGGTTGACATGTGAGCCCTAGTATATCTATGACATTTCATATTGGTTCAGGGATAAATCATTAAATGCCAAACAAAAGTAACTCAAAGAAAATAGAAAGGGAAAAATAAATCCTCCTACCACCTTCCTGACGAAGGCAACGCCCGCACGAGTCGCTCACCGCGCGCGAACCTTCCTCGGACTCGGGGCGTCTGTCCCCTGCCGCCGGCGATTCGATCGCGCGGGCGGGGCTGTCGCGTCTCGCCGCCGCCGCCGCAGCTAAGCCAGCGCGGCGATGGATTCGTCTCGGCCCAGGAGGGATCCCATCAAGTCCCGCCGCCGTCCCGACTGGAGAGAGGAGGTCTTTCTTTCGTTCCTTCCCCCCTCCCGAACCCCCCATCTCCGCCGTCGCCGTAGCTTAGCGTTAACGTAGCGTAGCGCGGTTCTAGGTCGACATGCCCCTGCGCGGGCGAGCGCTAGAGGGCGGGCGTGAATGTTAGCGCTGTTGGATTGTCCGTCGACGTGCGCGCAATGTGTTCGGTCGATTGCCTGAGCGAGCTGGTGCCCCCCTAGAGTTGAGCTACCAAAATTTATCTTCTGCTATTTTGTTGCTAATATTCACCATGCTAGGAGTAGGATTTATGGGGACATTGCAGTGTTCGGATGAGTTCTCTGTTGATTGTTGTGTTTCCTTTTTACTCGATTTGTCTGTAACTTGTGCTTACTCCCATTTTGCTGCACACAGCTTAGGAGCAATTGTCTGAAAAGAATTAAAGAGGAGAGAGTCCAGTTTCTTTGGAAGAAAAGGATCGATGGGCCACTTCCTGCTAGTGACATGGTATCGAAATTTATTACTCTTTTCGTCAACCTTTTGTACAGTTTCATACCGTCTATGCACCAATATATAGTAAATAATGGCTACATTCTCTACTGTTTGTTGATGGAAGTTCTCACTGTAGTTTAATGCTTTTAAAGGACAAACACCAGATAAATCAGTCCTTCTGTCTGATACTAGTCCTGAATAATTACAGTATGTTTCTTCTTGCAGCTGGCAAGTGAATCATGTACTTTAATGTTACCTATCATTGCTCTCGTAATCTTTCTTATCAATCCGAGGAGAGATACCAACGGCCTCATCTTTTCGCTTATGCTTATGCTTATCAATCAAAATTTGAATTTTCAACCTTAAATTTGAAGCCGATTTTGAGTTTTTTTTCATCGAAGTTTATTTTTCAGCCTTTGCTTTTAGATCACTAAGGACACGTATATAAAATTTTTATTCACAAATTACTTTTCGTTTGCAAATACGCCGTTTGGCTTATTCCGCAGATAAGCCAAATGATGGGGCTGCAAGTTAATTGGTTCTAATTTGACATTCAGGCTTAACAGCACTTCATTGCTATGGAAATGAAAATGTAAAGGATTCAAAATTTATTATTGATCAACTACTGGTTGCATACAAAACTAATGATTGAATAACCAAAATGAATTGAAAAATAATTATTGGTTCTGGACTTCTCGTTCTATGTGTTCCCATCATCTCTGTAGACTTTACAGATCGTGTTGAAAAATAGGTACCATTAAGATGACCATTATTATGGAACTGGATACATTATCACTATCCTTAGTCGAAAAACGTGGTTCATTAATAGGTTATACCATGAGTACTCTGCAGTCTTCATGCTAACATGATTTGTAGTTGAATATATTTATGTATTTTGTGCATCTGATTTATCTACTTATGTCGACTGACAGATAAAAGTCGAATCTGCAGTCAGGGATATTATCTCTGATGAATTACAGAAACTCAAACAGCATGGAGATGGAAAAGCGGAGGAAGAAGCTGATATGATATGGGAATATCAAGGACCACAGACAGCTAAACCTGTTGAGACTGAAAGTGAAGATATATTACTTGAAATGGAAAGACTTCTTTATGAAGATATGAGAGATGAAGCCATTCAGATAGGTACATTTTCAAAATGTTTTTTTATTGCTACAGTGCTCAAGAACTGTTCTTGCAATCTGCTTTGTTCATGTTTTCTCTGGAGTTTTTACAAATTTATATCTAATTCCTTACAACTCAATAGATAATATTCTCTGATTCATCTCACATGGATGCTCAAAATTTCATTTTATCTTGTAGATGAAAATAAATTGGTTTGGTTAAAAACATTTCCTATTTATTGTAGAAGTGGAGGCCCTCGATGAGGAAGATGAATACTTAGCTCAGGCTTTTCTTGAACATATGCAGTTAACTGATAAGGAGGTATGCATTCATTGAGCATTTAGTTCAACAGTTCGCTGGTCTGTAAGTTTTTCAATTATATAATTTGATGCTGTATATTTCTCTGACATAATTACTCTCTGTGCTTGACTTTGTCTTAGCTCAAGCCATTACTTCTTCTTTGAAGTGCATGCTAGAGCTACATTTCCTATATGATCTGTACCTATTTGTGTAATTTTATAATTGAAAATGCAAATGGTTTAGTGTTGATGGTAGGATCTGACAAGAAACACCTCAATTAGTGTTTCCATGGAGGAACAGAAAAATTTCCCAGTCAAAACATGGTATTAGAATAGGTTGGGTTCTGTTGTTTGGTCGCAAATGCAGCACTGCTGGCGATGTCAATCATATGTATTATTATTCTTTCCTATTGTCTTTCCCCCCTTCCATTTTGAAATAATTGTGCTATATATCAGGCAAATGCTAAGCTCTGGTGCCCAGTTTGCAAACAAGGGGAACTACGAGAAACACATAATCTCGTATATTGTACCATGTGTAAGCTACGCCTAGACCTTGGAGAAGATAAGGTAGTTCCTGTTGGCAACTTTGTATGTCTTCCTGATACATTGAGATGGTTTTACTTTTTCATAACATTATTGTACCAAATTTTACAACTTTAACTGTTCGATCAGATTAACCTGGAATTCTTGCGAGAAAGATTGGCTAATGTGCATATGGATCACTTGGATAGAGGATGCAAATCAGCACCCAAGTTCTGTTTGCAGACTATGTTTGAGTTGACTGCGCTCTACATACAATGCGAAGAATGTAACACTTTTGATGTCGTGATATAAATAGCTACAATGCTGATGAAGACCATATTACGGAGAGAAGGGAGGATGTCCATACTTTCAGAAGTTCTTTCTCCCCGTTTACTGTTAGATCAACGGCGAACTTATCCTTGGAAGAGGATGTACATCAACTAGGTAGGGCTCTGTCCACTTTTTGCGTTGAGGTGATCAAACTGTGACTCTTCCATGTATCTCTTTTTTGTTTGATGTCTTTCTTCACGTAAAGGTAGAGTGCAGTGTAATTAACCAGATGAGCTTGGTCAATATTTTGTTGCCAACTTACATGAAAGTCAGTGAACTCGCTGAACCGATATGGATATGGGCTAGATTATCCGTATCCTATGATGCTGTGAGTTCAATATGGTTTTATGGATTTTCTTATTCCTTTGAAGCTGATAATTTGGAGGTTTTGCAGTTCTTTTAGAAGATACCACACCGAATCATCTTCCATACATCAGTTAAAGAATGGTGAATGACATGGTCAGGAAAGCGTAAGTTAGTCATAATAATCTTGTTGATGCCAACTAAACCAATTTCAAATTTGGCACAATACCTCAAGCATGGAGTTGCCTCTAAAGTAATTAAGAGCTAGTGCACATGTTGCTGATAGCTTGATACTGTTCCTTATATAATTGACGCATCAATGTAATGGGCTAATCTGGCAAGGACTTTTTCTTTTGATATATCTTGAAAGCCACATCTTAACTACCACCACTTGGAGTCAACTCTTCTATCTATAGTCGTTTTCTTTTTCAATTTTGGTGCAATTAGCAACAGTACAATATGATAAAGCTGAATGAGCTCGGCCGGGGACGTATTATGCAATACACAAGTTTGTTTGAGTGTATGTTGTGCGTGCAAAGCAAGCAACAGATTTGATCCATGACAAATCGTTTCAAATGCAAACAATAATATTTCGGACTTAATAAAGTATACTTCAGTTAAGGAGAAGAAGAGTAATTAATTGACTCTGTATTTGGGTTAGGTAGGCAATGCCAATGTGCAATCCCTCCCTCCAAACAAGGGAGAGATCGACACGACCAAGTCATCCACAACTCCATAGCATGTCCTGGATAAACTTATCCATTTACTTTTGTTTTTTCCCTTGAAAGGATCAACTAACCTTTTGATTACAGTAAAAGACATTTTTAAGAGCTGTATTTAGGTCACGTTTGCTGATGATAGAAGGAGGAATGGGCAAAAGTGAAGGAGAAAAAAAACAATCTTTTCCTTGGAAGAAGAAGCATTCGTTGGGACATATAGTATTGTAAGTAGTTAGGTTGTTTACCGGAAATTACAACCCTTTCCCCAAAACCGCCCTGTAAACCCAGCACTGCTGTTTTTTCCTCTAAATAAATTCCGGCAGATCTTCTGCCGTCGTTCTCCTAAAAAAAGGTTGTTTACCGGCAACTCCATGTTCTAACTTATTTTCTTTTGTAACAACTACTCCACTATTAACTGTCATGGCTTCATGAAGAAGAAAAACAATGGAATGGCGCCTAAAGGAAAAATTGGAGAAAAATGGGCCGAAATCCAAGAAAAAATTAGGACGTGGGAGTTAAATACTGTATAAAACATTTGGATATGCATGTAGATGAACTTTGCAATAGAATTTAGGTATCCGAAATCTTATAGTGGAAATGGGTTATTTGTTCCCAATTAGCCATCTTTGCAACTTTTATCCCCGGAGTTGTTTTTTCGATGCTGATTTTACTTTCACTCAGTTTCAATATACCGACATCATTCAAATTAATCTGGGTAAAGAGCAAGAAGCAGCCAGCATGACAAATGAAATATGAGCTTGATCATACATAGCAACACTTTTGAAATGTCCAAAAAAAAAAAGTTTCCCCACAAAATAATCTGAGAAATAGCTGCTAGGTTGACATCACTCACCACTTGCAATAGAGTGAAGTACTGGGTGAGCATAAGCATACTGTGTGCTTGGTTCAAATGCAGAATTTATATTCCAAAGCGATTTTAAAATTTGAAGCTTAATCTTTTAAGAATAATTGTAGGTAAATTTTACATGTCTACTTATTGATCATGAAGAGAGATGGGTCACAAAAGTAACGACAAAAAACTCCTAAATTTGATCCCAAAATAAGATTCCGAAGTTTAAAATAGGCGTCAAGCTATAATCCGAAGCTAAACCAAGCTTCAAATTACAGATTTCCTGTCTTGATCAATGTAATAAAAACTGCAGCCCACTCAGAAGCTGGCAAAGGCCAAGGTGTTAGAGACCCACTCAACAATATAATTTCAGAAATAGCAGTGCCAAATCCAACACAAGGAACAACCAAGTCTGTTACAATAGTGGAGTGGTTTTGAGGTGGAAGATGGAAGGATACAAGGGCTAGAAGGTTCTAGTAGCTTATAGACTAGTAGAGAAGAAGGGAAATAGAGGAGAGATCGACAAAGAGGCCAGCCAGCCTCTAGGTCGCTGCCGCCGCTGTTCGCCGCCTTGGCCAAATGAATCTGTTCGATCAATCTCCTGTAAGCTGCTGCTGCTCATATATTTTTCAGCTTGGGCTTGCTTGGGCTTCTTGGCGATGGGCTGACCAACCCGTGGTGTAGCCAGCGGCCCATGTGCTGCCCACCCGAGCCCCTGACAATCCCCTCTTCTTGAAATTTGGCTTGTCCCCAAGCCGATGAAGAAAACCTCCTGGATCCCATGGTACCTGTAGCTCTTGTATTTCCTTGGAATTGCTCACCTGTAGCTTGATAACTTGCTCTGTATTTGTCTGTGTTGTATTGAATGTCTCACATTGCAGCAATTGTTCTTTCTTGATATCACCTAGTAACAAGTGGCGTATTGGGCATCCCTCTTTTATGACCTCCAATAATTTAACAGACCAATAATCCCTGTTTGCAATTGATGTATATATCATCTCTGAATCTGTCCCGGTATCAATGGAAAACCTTGCTGCAGCACTACCATCACTAGGATTGTTCTCACAGAAATCAAAAATGGAATCATAACCACATGTCTTGACCTTCCTGTTCTGATTCTCATCAGCACCTCTAGCAATAATCCCAGAAATCCTTCTGACCCCAAAATGTATCCCCGCTGGACAGTTAAACAACTGACCATTGTATAATATGTTTGTTGGGTTCTGTAGCCAGCTCTCAACATGATTAAGTGTCATGCGCATGGACTTACAAATTTTGTAAGTTCTTCCCTTAGCTATATCATTTAACCCTTCTTGAGCCTCCAACCAACAAGCTCCATATATATTTTGAGTAGAAGATGGAACTGACAGAAATGTTGTTGTCATTATAGCAGCAGGAATGATCAAGTAGTTGCAGCTTACTGTACTTAGGCCATATAACATTCCCTTTGTAACTTTTTCCTCACCACCCACATAGTGGAACTGTTCTAAGTTAAATATTGCCACCAATGTATCCTTATGAGCTCGATCAGATTTTTCATGATTTAAATCTCCTTTAGGTGCACAATATAGTGCAACAGAAGGTGTTTGGTCTCTTATGCAATTTGCACTGCAAAAATCATATCCCATCAAATGTGCAAAAACTGGTGCAGGCCATGGGACTTGCTCAATCCACATCACGCCTCCGCTATATTGACTTGGTTGTGGGTCAGGCCACGGTTTCAGCTCTACTTCCGTCAATCATGTGTTTACCAGCAGCCATAGTATTATGGTTCCAATTTGAGTTGGTGGTGGCCATGGTGGCATGAAATAAAATATTATCCCTAGGGCACATACCACTCCTTCCATCTTCTAACCACTCCACCTGAGCAAGGAGGTGGCCATGGGTTTCTCTTGGGATGACTCATCAACAGCTTCTTGTAGCCCTTGGAGCATTTGGTCGAACACCTGTTGAGCGCCACCCATTTTAGGCAGAAATTGGAGTTTAGCTTTTGTGCCATGACTAGTGTGGCCTTTCCCGAGGATGCTATTCCTTCTGGCGCGCCAAGCAATAGTGAGTACGCAACCCCAGCCTAGACAGTACCGGTGTTGACGTTGGGGCCCAACATCAAATGGCTTGGGTGCATCACCTTGGGAAGGTGAGTGGTGTCAGTGCAGGTTGCTTTCTCGTCAACCATCAACTCCATGGACTGACTTGATATCGGAACGACCTTGAACACACCCATCCTACTTTGGAACGCAATCACACCTCTATCAGTGACACCGTTGACATCGGAGCCGAACAACAAACACTTGGTGTGCGTCTCCTTGGAACAAACACGGGGGTCAATGATGGTGGTGCCGGTTGCGCCATCGGTGGCTACCAACTCCTTGGAGTCCACGGCAGTGTTGGAACATGTAACCACCACAGCCACGGTGAAATCAGGCTCGACGTCGAGGCTTGAGCATTTTGTCAAACACATGATAGGCGTCAACTCGGGAAGGTCCTTGCTAATGATGAAGGGCATGCGATCCTTCCCCTCACCATCCCCAACCTCCAGGATGATCGTCGGAGTAGCCCCCTCGTCGTCGTAGATGGATCTCGCTGTTGTGCTCGGTCTGCTGCCATTGGGGCACTCCATCGAACAGGTGGTGGGCGTCACCTTGGACTGCTAATCCTCAACCAAAAACTGAAGGTCTTCAGCTTTCTTTTGTTCTTGGGGCATCCACGAGTCTATTGCTGCCTTGAGAGATAGGAAATCTGCTCTCCTTCTTTGGTCTGCCTCCTCCCGCCTTCGCTCGCACTCCTCGAGCATCCTCAAAAGCATGTCAAACTTGTCCTCACTTCCGATGGCAGCTTGCTTAATGAGCTTGGTGGGGATTGACTCTGATACCAAATTATTAGAGACCCACTCAACAATATAATTTCAGAAATAGCAGTGCCAAATCCAACACAGGGAACAACCAAGTCTGTTACAATAGTGGAGTGGTTTTGAGGTGGAAGATGGAAGGATACAAGGGCTAGAAGGTTCTAGTAGCTTCTAGACTAGTAGAGAAGAAGGGAGATAGAGGAGAGATCGACAAAGAGGCCAGCCAGCCTCTAGGTCGCCGCCGCCGCTGTTCGCCGCCTTGGCCAAATGAATCTGTTCGATCGATATTCTGTAAGCTGCTGCTGCTCATATATTTTTCAGCTTGGGCTTGCTTGGACTTCTTGGCGATGGGCTGACCAACCTGTGGTGCAGCCAGCGGCCCATGTGCAGCCCACCCGAGTCCCTGACACAAGGGCCGTCTCTATTCTTCATATAAGAGACAATTTTATCTATATTTTTCCATCTGCTGAAGATCCAGGCAGAACAAATTAAATCACCAGGTGCCAGGACCAGATAATGATGCTGCTAATAAGGCTGAAATTAGCAATCGAATCATCGCGCTGTGGCTGCTAATTTGCACTGGTCTCAGTCAAGATGCCATCAGGGACAGGCTGTCCTACAGATTGGAGATTTGGAGTATGTGCAGTGCAGAAATCAGTCTACCTCAGTTCAGTGTCTGCAAAAGAACAAGATTTCTAGAGAATTTTCGGTCTGATCTGAATTGACTTGGCAAGCAACACGACACAGGTCCGAGCCCTACACGATTCTTCCTTCCAGGAAGCTGTCCAAGCATGTTGATGGAAGCAGGAAAAAAACTATTCCTTTCCCTTTTGAAAATGGTGACTCAGGAGACGGGAGTTCTGCCAATCAATTACTCGCTTCATTCCAAAATATAACAAATTTTAGTTCTTGGTATAGATACTAAGAAGAGAGGTAAAAGGATGTATTTTTCTCCTCAGGGTGAGTGAATTGTAGACCTAGACTAATTGGGGCTATAACTATAATGGAGCTAAGGAATAGTATGGCCCTGTTTAGTTCCCACACAAAAAATTTACACCCTATCAAATCGAACGTTTGAACACCTAGATGAAGTATTATATATAGGCTAATAACTAATTGCACAGATTGCGACTAATTTGCGGAACAAATCTTTTAAGCCTAATTGCTCCATGATTTGACAATGTGGCGCTACAGTAAACATTTGCTAATGACGGATTAATTAGGCTTAATAAATTCGTCTGATTGATTATGTAATTAGTTTTTTATTAGTGCCCGAACACCCTATGCGACACCCTATATAATACCCGATGTGACACGCCAAAACTTTACACCCTTGGATAACACCCTCTATATGTGTAGTTTAGTGGTAAACAACTTTTAGTACTACTTATATTCAAAACAGTATTTATATTTTTGAAACAGAGAGAATACTTATGCATCATGAAGACAGAATTATGCAACGGAAGTGACGACAACCCTTGAAATTAAATAAAACTAGCAAAATGCTTATGCTTTGCTATGGATATAATAAAATAAATTATAATATGTAATAGACAAAAAAATATTAAATATGTTAGTATCACTTGTTTGCATGTTTTAATATATTTTATTCACTTGTTTTAACCAAATATTTAGACTATTCTATAATATCAGAAAATATCAAGGATCAATTTGTAAAAACTATAAACAATGGTGAGGTAGCAGTGTCATTTCCATCACCAAACTTTTAGAGTATAGAAAAGCAGCTACCAATTATCGAAGCATAATGAATTATAATCAGAAGCATAGTCATAAACTGAACCAGGCACTGAAGCTACCACACATATCAAAGAAAACAAAAGAAAAGAAACAAATTAAGTCCTGAAAGAAGAAAAAGGATGTTAGAAAAATATAGCAAGCCTTGAAGCTGTCATGCCAAATGCTGTACCGGCAGTACTGTTGTCGCTGTTCTTCAGAGAAGAGAATTTTATTCATTTCCATCGGCTGAGGAACTGAACATCCATGCGAAATATTAGGTCCCGTTCAAAATAACAACTACATCTGTTTTAAAATATATGTATTTTTAGACTCTGATATAGTTTTCGAGATACTATTTTCACCAACAATATTTATTAAAAAATATTCTATATAAATGGAGTAGCATATTACGATTTGTTTGTTCTCGATTTTTTTTCTATTAATAGTCAAAATTAAAAATATTTGACTTACCACTGTTTTAAAAATGTTTATATTTTTGAACGGATGAAGTAATTAGTAAGGAACAAAATTGAACATATGATAATTATTCAAGGAATAAACAAATGTTGATGATATTTTTTTAAAGAAATCGGTGCCATTTAAAAGGTTGGGAAACACATGTTCACGATAATTGAAAAGGACGAGAACTTTGATATGGTAATCCCCACTGGGTTCCAAGGCCACACATGGCACATCATGGTTGCTCCAGTTGCAGCTAAACCCAATCAAATCAGTCCCTGTTCATGCCAATTTGTTCTGCTACTCCGATTCTCTCAGTCAATTTGCCAGCAGGGTCGTCGTTAATTAGTCGTCAGCCTCCTGCCTACCCCATATCTTCCTTCCCTCGGTACGTTGCATCCAGCGTATGCCGGTCTGCCAAAACAACAAGCTTAAAGTTAATTATAGTTGTTAATGGCGCTCTGCAGAAACTTCCATTCATCATAGTAGCATCCGATCCGGATCCTCTGCAGTGATGGAGAGACTGCAGAGGGAGCTACAGTGCAGTGTATTAGGGTATGCTGTTTATTGTTGGATCCACATCCATCGATCCAAAACAAAGTACTAAAGTAAATACGAACAGTAAGCATTCAAACAGTAAGGGCCCTTTAAATTGGAGGGAAAACATGAAATTTTGGAGGATTTTAATCCTATAGGAAAATTTCCATTGATGTCTTTTGAAAAAAAAGATTGAATCCTATCCAATCCTTTGAAATTCCTATGGAATAGACAATCCTATAAAGATTTTGGAGGAAATTTAGCAAGAGCTTCAACTTCTTGGTAACTTTCCTTTGAATCTATCTCTCTCATCCAATTCCTATGTTTTTCCTGCGGTTCAATCAAACAGTTATTCCTGTGTTTTTCCTGCGTTTTGTAATCTTCTGTTTTACACTTATATTCCTATCAAAATCCTATATTTTTCCTACTCCTACGTTTTTTTTCAATCATGTGATTCAAAGGGGGCCCTAAAAGAACTATGTTTGTACAGTAATTTGCTACAGTATTTGGGCACTGTTTGCTGTATTGATTCACTGTAACATACTCAGAATTGTAGTTATTTAAACTTCCAAACAACAAGCTTAAAGTTAATTACAGTTATTAATGGCGCTCTGCAGAAACTTCCATGCATTATAGTAGTATCGGATTGACATATATTCTGTGTATTTGTGTAAGGTGTATTTGTGCATTCTTCTACTCCTACTACGTTGCTTCTCCCACGCATCATTCTTTTCTTCAAGTAGCTGATGAAGCATGTTGATTCTTGGTACGAAGTATAAAATTGTATGGATTTTGTTTTTTTTTAAGAAAAAACTCTATGGCATTTGTCTTTGATACCATATTTGGTGAAAAAGGGAGATGTTGACGTCGATATATATGGTCTCCAAGATATAATTTTAATTACTTTTTTTGTTACAACATATCTAAAAACCTAATAAAACTGTAATATTACAAAACTACACTCCGTTGCAAATCTACACAAATTTGACTTGACACATATCCAAAACATGTTTTCTTCAATGGATGATAATAGCACAATAGATGTGGATGCTGGATACCAATATTTCGGCTGTGTTTTGTTCACACTAAAATTGAAAATTTGGTTGAAATTGGAACGATGTGACGGAAAAATTGAAAGTTTGTATGTGTAGGAAAGTTTTGATGTGATAGAAAAGTTGTAAGTTTAAAGAATAACTTTGGAACTAGACACGGCGTTCATTACACTACACGTCTATACGCGTAGGCAGCAATATGGTAAATTAATTAAAAGCTGAGGGGAGAAAGAAAAGGTAGAACATAATTAAATAAGATCAGGTGCGCTACTACATTACAAGCTGCTACGGCAAGCAATGGTACCGATATTGTTATTACATGAGGCGTCAGCAACAATTAATTATTTTCTTTTTTTCCTCTTTGAATAAATCTCCAGATATTATCATATCCTTTACTGCTAGAGGAAGTCGTCCAACTAATCACATCCCAGGCTCGGACCAAATCTCAACTCCTGCTAATTAAGAAAACCACAGCTATCAATTCAATCAAATCACTCCAAGCAAGCAGTCTGCATCAGACAAGATCCAAATTAGGGCAGCATCAGCAAGCTTAGAAGAAGTAAGGCGTCACACGCAAGCAAAAGCCCCAGTCAAAAGGATTTCTATTATTCTATAATCTATACTACATGAAAAATACCATTAATAATTGAATTGGGGAATAATTAAAATCATCTATCTAACCAAATTTTTTAAAGAATCTATTTATATGTATATGCAAAAATTTCACCTCGGCCTTGATTAATTAGTTCAAAAATGAAATGATCAAATAATTTCCAGGTTGTTCAGGTTTTGTTGTTTACCATTTCAGTGAGCTATTAGTTCAAACATGAAATGAACAAATATTTTTCCAGTTATTTAAATTTTGATTTTATTGTCTAGTACCTCTCTTCAACGTATAGCTAAAATTTATCTCCATCTCAGAATATAGAAATTTAGTATTGTCCAGATATATAGTTAGAAGTTGTTATATTTCGAAACGGAGGTAGAGTACGTGCATAACTAGAATTGTGCTTCTTCTGTCTCAAAATATAAGAGATTTTGGTTGAATCGGATATATCCCAGTCTTACGAATTTGGACAGCAAATTCATAGTACTGTAATATTCCACATCCGATCGGAATTCATTTTATTTTGGGACAGTGAGAGTATTCTTTTTCGCCGTAGATATTACTACCGTTTCAATAAGCGTGCCAATTGCAATTTACAAATGGATGAAGGACCTTGGTATAAAAATGGCGCACACACCCAACCTCTCCAACTAGCAAAGCCGCCAACACCAAGTCACCAACGCCAACGCCAAGGCCCATTTCCCACCAACCCAACCCCTCCTCATCTCGCATCGCAAGCCGCCGCCGCGGATGGAAGGCCTCATCCCGCTTCTCTACAAGGCCATCAAGGATCGCCGGGGCGGCCGCCCCGACGGCGGCGCCGCCGCCGGCGTGGACCTCTACGACCCGGAGCAGCGCCGGCTGTGGCTGGAGCAGGAGGTGCGGTCCCCGCTCCACCCATCGGCCGCGGCGGCGGGGGGCCAGCACCAGCAGCAGCAGCAGCCGCACCGGCGGAACCTGTCGCTGGAGGAGCTGGCCGGCGAGGTGGGGCTCTCCCCTGGCCGGCGGCTGCCGCGGGTAGCGCTCCCCAAGGCCCGCAGCGTCCGCGTCTTCTCCTGCATCGGCGCCGGCGCCGGAGTGGCCGCGTGAGTTTGCGTTCCACTTCCAATCATGTCAAATCGCGGCGAAACCTGTGAATACATACACCTGACCTGGTGGCCGCCATGATCATCAGTTCATCGCTGGAGCTGGAGATTGTGGCGAAGATTGATTAGTTGAACCGGTTCGGATTTCGTGTTTTTAATTAGTTCTCTCTCCCTCTTTTTTTTTCTTTGTTTGGATCTGGTAGAAATGATTCGTATGTGGTGGTGTTAGTAGTAGTGATTGATGAGTAGTAAGGTGTTTCTACTGTAATTACTTGTTGTTGTTATACACGGCAGATTTTGAACTTTGTTCTGCCTCTCGCTTTGATCTCTGGTAAGCTGTAAGCCCGTCAACGTTTTTAAGATATGTAGCAAGATTCATGAAGTACAATGGTTTTGAAAGGGATTAATTTTGCACCGATAAGGTGCTTTGATGCGCTATGCTAATCATGACACAATTAGGAAGATCATAATTGATTTTCCTCTCTCATACTTTCGGAGGTTTGATGATTTTTGCCGAATTTTCAAAGCCTGGTTTCAAGTATTTGAGGCTGCGAGCAAGTGTTTCTCCGGTGATAGGTGGCAGCCCGCAGCCCGTAGCCCAGCCCATGTTTCCTCTCTAAAATGGAAAGAAGCGGCCCACACAAGTTCGCCCAGATGGGCCTCCCTCCGGCCTTGACAATCCAACAAGTTGGGCCAAGTTGCAAGCCCATCATAAAAAAATGGGCTGTTGGTGCACCGGGCCGAATCGACGGGAGCAAAGTAACTGGCCGGTGGTGGGGACCACCCCCACCGACGGCTCGGGAGGACGGCCAGTTCAAGTGGGCCCCACCGAAGCAGCAACGCCGGGCACGAGTAACGCAAGTACTGTACTACTACCATCCAGGCTTGATGTCTCTGGCACTCTTGGCTCTGGCTGGTAGCTATTCATGCAAGCAGAGCCCTGAAAAGGGAGATTATTTATATTAATTCCTGCTTAGCTGCAAACAAAACCGTAAAGTCTCTTAAGCATCACTCACAGCTGTAATACTTGTCCCTGTATGCGAGATGTAGTAATCTCATGGATTAAAGGCTCTTTTTTCTTGTCCAAAAGTAAATCCTTTTTCGCCGTCGATCGAGACAAAACCATTCAACTGAATGCATGCCTACAGGCATAGAGGCTGCTGACACACACCATCCGATCTGTCTGGGGGCAAAACTGTACTGTAGGAAATGTGTGTTGTGAGAATTGATCTCCAGAAGCTTCCTCTCATTCCTGTTATGCCCCTGTAGGACTCCTTTTTAAAGGCTAGCAAGGGGGAGGAGAGACATCCTCCATCTCACCCCAACACAACCGCATAACAACACCAGTCCATCATTAGATGTGCAAGTAATTCCCCTTGTTAGCTTGCAGGGGGATAGGTAGGAAGATATAGATGTCCCTCTTGTCACCTCCACCACCGTTGACGATGACACGCGGTGCGTCGCATAGTGGAGGCACCGCCATGGGCATTGGTGGTTCCTATGGGCCGGTGATCGTGGCTCTGGCGATCATCGCTACCCTCACGGTTGCTTCTATTGCCGTTGGTCAGCTTTGCGTGGGACGTGGCACACCCATCAAGCCTGGGCAAGGTATGGGAGCCTTTGTGAAGAAGAGCATAGGAGGGAACAAAGCTGCCTATGATGATGCCCTCCCTGAGAAGAAGAAGGAAGAAGACGTGGAGAACGCCACTGTGGAGGAGGTGGAGAAATCGGAGCCACCAAAGGTGGAAGAGGACGATGACGGGAGTTCTTCTCAAGTGAGCTCCTAGTATGGGAATCGATCTGTTTTTTTTGTTGTTGCTTTTGTGGAGGGGTTTCCAAGACTCTTTCTGTGTGTTCCTTTGATTCCATGGTGTAATTGATATCTTGGGAGGGATTCAATGGAATTGAAGAATAATAAATGATATATTTTGTCTGGTTTGTTGTTGCTATATTTGCACCTACATATTAATTCTTAAGGTTTTCATACTAATCTTGGCTTAAGATTATTCAAGATCTTGTTTTGCTGTAGTTTTTGAACTGCATGATCTATTGCAAAATTAAAATTTTAGGGTTGCTATCTTGACGTATATGTTTCTATCTGATATGTCCATCTAAGACCTAGAAGGTTAAATACGCGCGGGAAGGATGTTTGAATCTCATATCTAGACCCTCGATGTATGTTTGCCGTCCGATTAAGATTGTATGGTTCAATGATCGTGGGAAAGATGTTTAAACCATATATGTGTATACGTTTGATGCATGTGTACCATCTGATTAAGATTGGATGATTGAAAGATTCGCGGGAAATATATTTAAACTCTTATATAGACCATCCACACAAGTTCCACCTTATAAGATTAGATGATTGAATGTTTCCCAAATATATCTTAACCCTAGCCAAACCCTCACATGGCTCCCCCCTGCCACCACCC